TACTGTCGGTGTAGCGAGGGCGCGACCTCTATTTCAATTGCTCGGAAAATATCGCCTGCGTGTCCCCCGCTCTAAGCCCGTCCGAACGGACGGCGGAGCCTCTTAGAAATCAACCCCCTTCCTTCATCGCTGGACGCTATTATCGTTAGTTTGATACCAACAACGAGCGGGTGGCCCAACTTTATCTTCACGCAGCGGAATGATTCTGAGCTGCACATTCGCCAAATGTTGGTCCTTTTGAAGGATTCAACAGATAGTCAACGCACGTTCAGAGCGTGTTAAAGAGCGCAACGATTCTACTGACAGAGAAAGAGCCCGGCAGTGTCAGGGGGTTGATCTCCAGCGTAGAGTAATTCTCACCATGCTGCCCGCTGTTCCAGCCGCACAACTCGAAGGATGTCCTACCATTGTTAATCAGCATGACATCCTCGTCACACACGCCGGTCATCGCATTCGGTTGGCCCTGAAACATGTCCTTCTTATCGGTTCCACATGTTCGTCTCGCGCTTCGTCCTCCCTCTTCGCGCGATTGCGCAACTCGGCAGTCTCTATTTTCGTTTAATTGCAACAATGTTGTGCAAAATGTGTTAACAAAAAAAAACTACCTTTCTTTTTTTCTTTACGAACAAGCGCCGTCTTCTGGGATGGCAATTCAAGAATAAACTCTACCGCGCTCTCTCTCTCTCTCTCTCTCTCTCTCTCTCTCTCTTTCTTCGCGAAAGAATATGAGCTTCATTGATATGTTGCGCGCGCGTGTGTGTGTGTGTGTGCGCCACATCGACATTGTCTCAGCGACTCGCGGAATATTAGATGCGCCGCAAACGGCGCCTGGGGAATCGACAGTTGCGATCCACCACGTATTCCCTAGTAAATAACGCTCCAAGTATAATAAGGTATCCCTGAGACTTACAATGTTGAAATGGACAAAGTCGATCCTTAGCTGGCTGACCTCGGTATCGATCTTCCGTACAACCACCGAGCAGTTCATAGGCCGGTCGATGAGGTTGGGAAAACCAGGACTGGTCACGTAGGTCAGATTATTTTGTACCTCACTGTCGCAGCTTGCCGTGACTGCGAAACGTGTATATTAATTACCGACGCAGTTAAACGGACGCTCGTATGCGCGCGTGTGTGCGCGTATTTCTCATATTTTTTTCCGTTCGCGTTAACAAGCACCTGGCTAGCGACGGAAACATCGGCTCGATCGCAATTGATCGACCGATCAGCCACCCACTTAATCGCCCACTCGCACGTCGTCTCGCGCGCGAGATTGCAAATTGCGTGCGGACCGACAAGTAACGCGACAACAAACGCGACGTCGATCGCGTTGCAAGCTAACGTTTAAAACCGTCTTGCATTTAAAACCGAGAGTCGTTAATAGTGATTCCGTTAGCCTTCTAAAGTTAAGTGGGAAATCAGACACCTGAGTTTAGCGCGTCACTGTGCGACGTTTCTACGTAGTGCGCAGTGTGCGAGCTGTGCAAACTCGGCTCTCTCTCTCTCTCTCTCCTTCCTCCTCCTCTTCCTTCACACGTATTATACGCGTTGAATAATTTTCACCTAGAGGAACGCGACAACCTACATCGAAATTTGTCAATTTCACGGGGGGAGAGAAGGCCTCGTGCGCCGAGCGGCGAGCGGCGAGCGGCGACACGTAGATTACAGCGCAATCGCGCTGTTGCGCGATGAAAGGAGAAGGCACGCTGGAGACTCGCCAGAATCTCCCGCTTGAAATTCATACACGCGCTCGCGCGCCGACGGATTAAACGCGAGCCGGACGCGCGAGACGTTCCAGCCGAGACTTTTGCGAGAGCGCGCGCGTCCCACGCCGTCGTGGGCGTCGTCGTCGTCGTGCGATATTCTCGCGACCAGCCTCCGGCTTCGATAACGAGTTCTCATTCAGGTATTCAGTGACCGTTTTAGAATCTCGGGGACGCTATTCAACGGGCCGCTGGCTGGAAGAAACGGTTACTGCCTTCGCATGTAGATCTTACTTCCTCTCTCTACAGCCGGGAAACGCAACTTGGTGGACAATATAAAAAATGCATGAACGCTTCACGTCGTCGTCGTCGTCGTTGTCGTGTTTGCGGCGTCGTGTAACGTCGCCGACGAGATGATGCGCGCGTTCAACGATTCGATAAAAAGAGCAGAGGAGAGAGGACGAGAGAGAGAGAGAGAGAGAGAGAGAGAGAGAGAGAGAAAGATGAGGATTTCGATCCGAGATTGGTTACGACGATGGATTTATCAAACGCGCGTCTTCGCGTGCGTTTGATAATGAGATCTCGCGTCCGGCCGCTTCGCGGAGGGTGAAAGGTGTGAGATTTTAATGAGCGTTCCTGCGGGCGAGAAACATTTAACGGCAAACATGGCGACGCGCGGAAGCCTCTCTCGCGCTGAGGCAAAAGTACATCTAGCTCGGCTTAATTGGCCTCTCGCCTTCGCATTCCTCTCCGATCGCACCCTCTCGTTATCGCGTGTCCCCGCTCTCTCTCTCTCTCTCTCTTTCTCGACACCGTCGATATATAATCCGACGGTAAAACTCGAATGTTCACGGTGCGCCTCGACGATCATGTGGACGACGGCACACAGGTGGGACATATTCGGGACGTTGCTCGAGAATCCGTACGTACGGTGCGGCCCTGTTTTCGTTACTGTGCGCGGCATGCACCGTGGCGGAAAAGGCAGGCGAATGCGAATCACGCGGACGGGAAGAAGCGAGGAGATGGGAAAATTCATAAAGCGCAGTCGGAAGACGAAACGGTCTGGAGCCGCCGTTAATAAAACGGCGTTTCCGCCGCGGGTCGCGGCGAGAGCAACATTTCAACGGAATCGCGCATGTCTCTTCACCGTCGACTCGGATCTTCTCGAATGTGGTTCACAGCAAGCAGACAGAGACAAGGACGACGACGACGACGACGACGACGACGACGACGACGATGTTGATAATTCGCGTACGCGACGAGCAAAGTCCGGAAAATCGACGCCAAGTGACAGTGGGCAGTGGGCAGTGGGCAGTGGGCAGCTCGCGGTGCGCGACGCTCGTGACCGCGCCGAAAGGCAATTAAGTAACTGTATAACTTGGCCTTCGAGTTCTTCCTCGCTTTCGCGGTCGAGCTCTCGGCCAGCCGTACCGTTCCTCCTCTTTTTTCCTGCTATCCTCGAGTGCTCCCTTTCACGCTATCGAGGAGAACGTGCTGCTTGAGATCTCGTCTCGCAGCTATAGCCAGCTATCCCGATACCGTTAAGCTGAAGATCGCCGGTCGATGCGCCTTGCGCCGCGCCATCGCCGCGACGCGAATACGCGAAGATCGTCGCGACCGAAACATCGTCTCGGGCGAGTTTTTCGGGAGACTCGCTCGCGAGAGGCAGCGCGCGAGTCCTTCCCTTTCGCGTTCGCGGATGCGCGCGCGCCACGCGCGCGCTCTCCGGTTGCATTTCAATCAAGAGGAGGCTTTGCTTCCGGTGCAATTTCTTTTTTTTTCCGTTTCATCGGGAAAAAAGCCGGAGGCCGTTCGCGCAGGAATACCCAAAGATATGTGTGCGCGCGCGTCTGCGGCGTATATCGGCCGCGAGGATATATTGTCGCGAGCTAGCTCGCTAGCTCGCTCGCTCGCTCGCTCGCTCGCTCGCACCCGACCGGAATAAATCGACGTTCCGGTAGCGAGGACGTCCCGAATGCGACTCGATATATTCTCGGCGCGACGAATGAAGGACGTGCATTTACGCGAATGATAGGTATACTCACATATGCAGCACACACCGAATCCGAGCGCGCACGGTCCGTGGGACATTCCGTGCTGGATGCGGCACTCGTATGTGTTCATGCATATTCCCTGACGTCGTTTGTCCTCGGACAGGCACTCCTCCTCCACCGGAACGGGAAAGAAGTTTAACACTGCGGATACAAAGGTAGAGGAAAAAAAAGAGAAGAAGAGAGAGAGAGAGAGAGAGGGGGGGGGGAAGGGAAAAAGGGAACGCAACGGCGGCGGGGGTGGGGGCGGGGGGGAAATGCATTTCGCGTGCCGAGCGCGATCCGTCGGGGCGAGATCCTGCCGCAAATGGAACCGTTATAGAAACGGATACAGCGGGACGAAATGGCAATTATTTGTAGTTTACGCGCCATTCGAACGTCAGAGCTTTCAGCTCACGCAGTTCCCCCCCGCGTGTGTGCTGCCCAGATACGATTTGCGAGCGGCGGAAGCAGCATTCGGAAAAAGCCGCCGCAGCGGACAAGCGAGTTGTGCCGTTTTGATCGGCGCTATATCGCAGCCGATGTATCACGAGCGCGGCGCGTATGCATTCTTAAGAGCGAAACGACCGCACGGCACGTGCCTCGACTGCCGCCGAGCCGAGAGAGATCAGCGCGAGCGCGACTCGACAGTGATGGATTTATCGGTTGTTTACCAGTGATGTGGCGTTTACGTTATCGTTTGACGAACAATCAAATGCTATGCCGCTTGACCGTTTGCCACGTTTGCGCCCGATATACGATACGCGAAGGGGAGACGACGACGACGACGACGACGACAATCGTTGTTTCATCTTCCTCCAGGGAATTCCAGAGATCTATGTCGACGTCGATGCCACTTTGCGAGACTCAACTCGCGTAGCTCGCTCGCGCTCGCGCTCGCGCGCGCATCTTGAATTTGGAAAATATTTTCACGAGGACCGCCTCGATCTCTCCCTTAGCAGTTGTGTGTGTGCGGGAGGCTACTCACCCCTCAGTGAAAATCCATCCGTCGGCTCCGCGAGCTCGTTGGACGCAGGTTTATCCGTCGTTTGTTGCGGCCAAAAGGCCAGTCCCAGGAATGACCATTGATGCGTGATCCCCGGCAAGGTGAGAAGCACACCGATGGTGTTCAAGGCGCAAGCGACGCGACCGCATCGCCCCGCCGACGAATGCGACGTCCCGGCTACCGTGACGATACACAGAGCGAGTATCCCATGAAAGCGTGAGAGCATAATCGCGCCGCGAGATCTCACCGGTGCCCGCGCGAAGCACCGCGCGCATTCCTGGCGGCTGTGCGAAAAACCGTCCGCGAGGACACATCCGCGTCAAACACCGAGAACGGTGCCCGCCGACCGACTGTCAATGAGACCACGCTGCGAACACCTGAGGCCCACGCATCAGGACCCCTCCTGCCACAATATCCCCATATACTCGATACGTCCTGATACGACGTTTCCGCACGCGGCGGATCAATTCGCGGTATCGACGCGAAAGAGGACGTGATATAACGGTCTCAAATGCGTAAACATGCGCGTCCACGTGACGCGCGCTCCCAAATATCTCCCATCACAAAAATGCACTGCAGGAAAGAGAGGGGACAAGATGGCGATTCTTTACGACCGATAAGTAAAGAGGTTGTGTGATAAATGGAAGAGACTATCGTCATATAAAAAATTCATAAATAAGGAGACCGGACTTCAAGCGAGCGTTCACGCCGCATTATTTAGACTATCAAGTACGATTTCACGATAAAAGTGGAACGTCAAATATATATATATATATATATATATATATATATATATATCTGCGCAATTATATTGATGAATATCATTCGTTCAATAATATCTTCCTCGTACTATCTGAAATTAAAGCTCTTACGACCCGACGTTCATTCGCGTAATATCGGGAAATAAAAAGAGGTCATCGAAGTATATACGTGCGAAAAACCTCCAAGTATACGTTCATTTTCCTCGTATTTGAAGAATAAGTCAAATTCAATTGACTGCAAATTTGGTAAAAAAAAAAAAAAAAAAAAATTATGATAATGAAATGATTCCGAGCGCATTTCACAGCTTCAAATCTCTAGTTTTCAGAAACATTTTTTTATGTAAATTGTACTTATCTTTTTACTATGCTTTACGAATATAAATCGAGATTCGTCAACTTTAAAAATTTTTCCTCAAATTTGTCGAGTTTTACAATGTAAATAAATATTCTAGGCAAATGACATTTATATCATTTAGAAGCATAAACATTTGCCTATAATATACGTACCTACAGAATGCGCGATGCAATTTCTTTTCACCGAGTTGTTTAATGTTAAAGGAAAAATGGCATTTTTGCTTTGATCGTTCGTTCAGTAAGCGAACGAGTCAGTATACGACATTCAGTAAGCGATCAATAGAAAGTTTAGAGTTCTATCTTTCAAATGCATTTGTCGTAGTTTTTATCAAAATTGAGTTTCATTGTGAAAACTCAACTTAAAGATGAAGTTAAGAACGGAACAGTCGTTATTTTTTATATTTTTCTTTATATTGTTCTGACCAACAACAGTATGTAACAACATCATGTACTCAAAATATCTGAAAAGTGTAGACTTCAAGCTTTGAAATGTCTGCCGAACCCAATTGGCTGTTGTTATTTTTGCAACAGTTACAGCTTGTTGAACCTGTGTTTCCGTATAAAGAAAAGTGCCTCCGATTAGTCATTAAGTAATACTACTCGAGAAATAAAAGCACTGCCTGACCACATCGTTGAGTCACACCACGACCTAAATACAGTAGAGAATCGTAGCGGGCACTTTGGAACTAAAAATCGGGGTTACTGTCTGAAAGCAGAGATACGAACCTTCTTCAACCAACACCTATCGATTACTTACCGAGGCTCAAACCTCACCTTCTGGGTGAGCTCAAAGCCCAACTTTAACAATTAATTCCTCGAAAACCAACAAGAATTGAGAAAAAACTCTTCAACATGGGTTAAATATTTTTTAATCCAGTTTTATTATATTCAATTATATGGTAATTAATGCGCTGACTGATCGCCCCGCAACTAAATGCGCTGAGAATCAACATTGAAAACTATTTGATCCACGTTTATACATTTTGTTCAATTTGTTTTAATTTTGAAGAGATTAATTTTTTTAAATGCACTTGTTAGCCAATGGCCCACGTGGCGCGATCTAACAGAGTTTAATGAAACTTGTTTGCCAAAAAGTTTGACTCTGTTAGATATGATTGGTACTGAAGATTTACTCACCAAAGAGAAAGACCCCTGTTTAATCACTCAAATCATCTCGGCAAACGACAAAGCCGTTAGCTGACAAGTTCATTTTTAGAAATTAGTATCTCCTGAACCAAGACAAATTGGACGAAATGCATAAACGGGGATCATCATCATTTTTAATGTTATTTCACCGTATTTAATTGCGGGACGATCAGTCAGCGCAATTTCATTTTCGAAAATGCATATATTGATCGCCATACAATCAAACATAATGAAAATAGAATAAAAAATATTTGACCCATATTCGAGCATTTTGTCCAATCTGTCTTGATTTTCGAGAAATTAATTGCTAAAGCATGGGCTCACCCGGGTCTTTGAGTCTCCGTTAAATAATCGACAGATGTTGGTTGAAAAGATTCGTGTCTTTGCTCTTAGATAGTACCACCGACGAGATACTATAAAAACTGTTGGCCTTATGGGATTTAGCTGGATTTAGCGTACCAGAGAAATTTCGCTGTGCACTAGCGTCCTCTTAAGAATATCGTGGCCGAGATAAAATAAAATAAATATAAAACATAGCTCGAAATAAGCATGAATGGTAACAGATATGGAATAATGGGAAAAAGATATCGGAAGATATCAAAGACTATTAATATAGAAAAACAGGTCGAACAAGTATGCGTGTATGTCTCGTAGGATTGCAAGACGTGAGAGAAAATCAGCGCGCGCTCATTCGTCATATTTCTATAATTAATAACTCGATAATTATTACGAATCTTGCAAAACGGTATGGGAGTTTTATGCTTGCTTTAAACCGATCTACCTGTACACCTCGGCTTGGCAGCTAATTACCGGACACCATGTATATTTAATTAAAACATAATATTAGGTTAATATATTAAAATATTCTATTGGATAGCGTGTATTTTTTCATAACATTTTTTATAACTATATAATACCAGTGTATGCGTATTGTTCGTTAATATATAAATAATGTTTAATTTTATAATGATTATTAGTATCGCGCGATGTTTAATTTGAACTTAATATATTAATGTATTCGAAGATTTAATATTTAATACTTTTATTTGTTCTGCCCCCCTCCTCTCTCTCCCGCCCCCACTCTTTTTAGACCACCGGTCAAAGTCTGGCATAGATGTGGCAACTGTGGTTGCAGCACGGACGTAAACCGTCTGAAAGTGGATGTAGCACGGACTTCCACCACATGCAGATTTTACCACCGAGACCTGAAAGTGGATGTAGTCCCCCTCGTAGTTCCCCTCTCAAATAGGATGCAGATGGCGTCCTTTCCCAATGCGGAAAGTCGGTGTCGCCGTGAAAATGCCGTGTTGGCCGCTTTCAGGTTTCTCTCTGATTAGTTAGAAGTAGCGATCCTTGCTACGCTGATTCCGACAGACGAGAATAAACGTAGATGGCGTTTTCGGTTTGTTGTAAACGCTGGCATGACACCTGTGCGTGCCCTCGACCCGTTCTCCACGCGACGTTCTCATCGCCGCCGTCGTCGCTCGATTGCCGTCTAGTTTTTCCACGCACCCGGTGGAATCGTCTGCTGTTCTACAGTCGCTCGTAAACTCGATTGCATAAACGAGTAAAGGGAGGAGCACGCGCCGCGCCGTGGAAAAATGAGAGGTGTCCGGAAAAAAAAGAAAATCTATAAAATCTGAGTACCGGTCGCTTGTGGTCAGTCGAAAGGAAACTGAGGAGGAAGGGAGGGAGAGAGGCAGAGAGAAAGAGAGAGTGAACGTTACGTCGCTTCTTCTCTCCTGCACAAGTGATACACACACATACGCGCACCTTCATTTACATGCAACGGCAAACGTGCGTCGGAGCGAGAGAGGGCGAGTGAGAGCGAAGGAGAGAAGGGGAGAGAAGGAGAGAAGGAGAGAGAGAGAGAGAGAGAGAGAGAGTCACGCGGCGTGTTACATCGTCGATGTGTGCGGCCAGGTGATCCCGCAAGAAACACTCCCACCCTCTCTCTCTCTCTCTCTCTCTCCCTCTCTCCCTCGGCCCGCCTCTCTCGCATTCGCACTCTCTCGCTCGCGCTCACCCTAACGCACACCCTCTCCGGCATATAACCTCAAACCGTCGGCGAGCTCGTGTCGCGCGTCGTCTCGCTCGACGTCGGTCGTCGTGCGTTCTTCGCCGACGTCAACCGGGTTGCCCGAATGTGCGTGGTGCGGTTTCTGCTGTCGCAGCGGGTGCTCGTGAGTTCTCGCAGCTTCTCACCACATGCGACTTGTAAGTATTCGTTGTTGCTAGAGCTTACACCTCCTCTCGTCACAGCATGCATGATGACACAGATGTAAACGATGCAATCTCAAAGACCGCGTTTCTCTCTCGCATTTCTTTCCGATCCACTGTGCGGCGATTTTGCGAAACGCGCCAAGATCTTCGGTTCCGCCCCGGCGCGGGCGATCGCGTCGCGATCGTCTCCTGTCTGTCTGAAATGTCAGTGTTTCACCCCCCCCCCCCCCGCCCTGGACGTTTCTCTCGCCGTTCGTCGCGTTTCTTTCCTCGTCTTCTCTTTTCGTGTCTCTCCCGAGCGCAGAAATTCGAGAGACGCGTTCTTCCGCGGAGCGACATCTTCTTCTCTCGTTCTTCCGTGTTTTCGTTCAAATTATTCTGCGCGGAGAGCGAGGAGGCCGAAAGAGGCCGTGCAAAGACGCGAACCGCCCGCTCGCGAGCGGGCGAAACACGAGTAGTCCGGTGCGAATTAAAGAGAAGAATCAAGCACGCTCTTGATCCTAGCGAGTAACATCTGGGTGTGTTTTCACCGAGAAACTTCTCCTCCGATCGCGGCGAAAACGCTTTTACTTTCTCGGTTGAACGCGCTTGATGATACTTTAAGGAGTTCCCGTCGTTTCCCCGAGGCCGAGGCCGAGGCCGAGAATAGAAACGCTTGGGGAACAAACTCAATTAAATGTCAATTTGTCCTGAATTTATATTCACGCGGCGATGACGCGCGTCCCGTTTCTTTCCCTGTGCGTGAAAAGCACCTTTGTTTTCCGACCGAGCCAGCGGGAAAACGCGTAACGATACAAAAATCTCTTTATTTCTGTTTCGGTTTGGCCCACACTCCGGACGATCTAATTTAATTTAATTTAATAACGACAAAAATTCCAAATAGAATAGAATTCCAATAGAATTCAATCGGGCGTCACGCGTCTATCATAAAAATATTTATGTACGCGATTAGGCATAATTAAAAAGGCAATTTTAGTTTCTCGAACTTACGCTGATTCCGTCACGAGTTACAGATCGCCCCGAGCGGATTTTAAAGCGAGTGATCTCATTGTTCCTGCGTCGAGACGACACTTTCAAACGTCTCATCTCGATGCCACGCGCAAAAGCGAGAATCGATCGAGGCAAACAGGCAGATCGAGAGATCCGCCAGCGTTTCCTCTCTCCGCAAGAACGTTGCTCCTAAAATACAGTCTTCTCTCAGAGCTGATCGTTAAGCTGATCAGCTCTGAGAGAAGTATTTTCGGTGATTCGCGCTATATAAAGACACCAGGAGCGCGCGATATGCGGAGGCCAAAGGGAAATGCGACGTGTGTTTTACATCGCGTATTGAATAATGACCGATGAACAGGATGCACATGACGCATCGCACGTTACGCAACATCACGTTAGTTCATGCCGTGAATGCAAAGAACGTGTTTCGCAAGGAAAAAAATAGCCACGGAATTAATCACACTCGCTTACACGAGTCACTAATCACGCACGCACTCGATATCCTTGAATTATTCGGCCGGTGATCGCCTGCTCGAGCGCTCTCGCGCCGGGCGCCCGCATCTTTAGCTACGCCACTGGTTCTGCCCTTTTCACTGGTGATGCCGTCAAGAAGCAAGCGAATATATACACGCACACACGAAAAGAGGAAGAGAGAGAGAGAGCTTATTTTACATGTGGAGGACGCGCACATTGGATCATCTCGCAAGGAGAGAGATGATATTCCGACGAATTTGGTATCGATACTTTTTCCTGCCAGCTCACGCAATATTAATGTTTCGACATTCAGTTTCGGCTTTCCGCAAGTTTGTCAGATGTTATTAAAGATATCGGACAGCACGTGTTTTCCAAAGATGCATCGCTTCGTTGTTGTCTATATTAAGTGTTGCGATTTGATAAGGCTCTTTCCTGAAACAGTCAGTCACTGATATAGAACGCCCCATCGTACGAAACGCGATAATACACACACGAACACGCGAAGCCTCTTTAAAATTCCATTAAGCTAAAGTCCGAATTATAAGTTCCAAGTTCACGGACCGAGATTCCAAGCCGACCGAGGCTCGACACGACGATTCCCCCGGCGCTCTATCCGTCTGGAAGATACTCAGCCGGAATGTCGTGATAAAGAAAAGAGAAGCAACGCAAGAAGAATGGAAAGTGCAGGGAATTATCTAATCGTAACGTTCGCGCGAGCGTCGAGCCCGTGAAATACGAAGTGAAAGTGAATGAATTAGTCGCGCGCGCGCGAACCAATTCCGCAACGGTGCGGGAGAAAGAAGCTTTCGAGCCTCCTCCGTGGGAGGGGGAGGGGGGGAGCCCTTTAGAACACAGAACACAGAGCCGTTAACAAAGTCAAACCTCATCTGCCCTTCGATCCCGCCCTCTCGTCCATCTGTGCTACTGCACAGAATGCCGCCCGCTGCACTTGCGGCGCGATGCGTGGAGCGCTCGAACTTGGAGGCGCTATGAATAAACCATGCGTGTGCGCGCATGTGTGCACGTAGCCGAACGATTTCCACCGCGAGCTCTTCGATGGGGATCCGAGGATCGGCGGGGATCGAGGATGGCTTCTTCTTTGCTTGAACGGGGCGTCACGCGCCAAAATATAGTTCCCTTGGGTAAGGGAGGGTTAGTGCGCGCGGTACCACGCCTTGTGGCGAACGCTAAAAGCCCCTCGCTTCTTCTCTCTCTCTCTCTCTCTCTCTTTCTCTTTCTTTCTTCCGTCTCTCCCCGTGTCTGTCTCGTTCGCTCTTTTGCGTGTAACGCGGCGGCTTGAAATATTAGCGGAAGCACGCTCGCGTGAGACTGCCGGCTCAGGGCCAGTCGCGCGGGGAGGGGGCAAATCGCCGCCGTAAAAGGTCGAGGCATCGGCGCGAATTAGCGCGGTTATCTCTCTCGGATAGGATATTAATTAATTATAGAATTAACCCGCCCGCGCCGGGGGGTGATAATCCAGCCGCGCAACCACTCCGCCAATCTTTTGATCGATGTTTCGTTTGTCAAGAAAAGAAGCACCGCCTGTACGCCTCATTCGCTCGAGGCGCCATCGCCAGGGTCGTATTTATTAGGAAACTAAGGGGAAAACTCACCCTCGCGCTTCTTTCGCGCTATTTCATCCTTTGTTCGAGTCATCAAATTGTTTAATCTTTTATTTTTATTTTTTGTCCGTCGAGAAATCTCCCCTTAAGGTTTCCCTTAAGGTTTCGCGTTATTTCTGAGTAAGTGAAGAGTATAAACCGCACGCGCGCTTGAGAGAGAGAGAGAGAGAGAGAGGAAGAATTTTCTGTTCGTGCAATTGACTTTCTGGAGATCACGAGTGAAAACTCTGCCGGCCGTTTCATTGTTCCCGGTTATCTTAATCGCATTTTAATCGCGCTCGAATGTTTTCGGTCGCGGGAACAAAGATATTTCGTTGTTACTCCTCGCCGAGTCTTTATGTTTTTATTTTTATTCTTATTCTTTCACACACAGATTGAGACTTTTTCTTACCTAAGAGATATTTTATCCAAATTGAATTCAAATTAATTTATCTTATCGTCTCGACAGATACAAACGAGAGTCTCGAGGAGGACCTGATATTCACTCTCGCTCGCGATTCCGCGGAGACGACCATCCAGCGACATTATTCGTCGATTCGCTGAGAAAGAAAGGCAGCAAGAGACCATTTCGCTTTATTTTCCCTGTTGCGCGCGTTAAGCCGCCCCTGACAAACGCCGCCAGTCCTCCTGGTGCCGCGTTGTTTGGTGGCCGCGTGTTGGACCCAGGAGATGAAGGGTGTGCGTCATCACCCAGTTTCAGACGTTCGAGTGTGGCAAACTCGCCGTCGCCGTCGCCGACGCCGTCGTCAGACCGGCGACTCCTTTTTTCCTCTTTCTCGCGCGTGCGTGGATCATCACGACGCAATTTTTCTCGGCTGATCTACCGTACTTGTGCTCGTCGGGCAGCCCTGAGGGTCGGCAACCCAAGTGCGCGCGTGTCGAAGGGTTGCCGCCGGGGGATGGTCGCGTGTACGCGGATCATCTCGTCCTTACGCACGATTTACGCGCGCGCGCGCGAGCGAGCGAGCGAGAGAACAAACGAGCACGAACGCGCTCTCCGCTTTTTATTCTCGTCCCTCCGTGCGTCCTGGTTCTTTCGAATTTCGTCGGCGTGAATGTTTCGCGCGACGCAAACTGCCGGCCGCGGAATGATTTGCAATGCAAAACCGCACACCGCGAAACGGAAAGTGCGTAAAGTCGTGATATAAAGTGAGCATAAATTAAAGATAAATGAGCACTGCCGGGAGCGCAAGTCGGTCTAACCCAGTCGGCAGGCTCGGCCCTCTCGAATCGGAGTCGCGTGTTCGGGTCGCGAGTTACATTTAGATAATTTTTTTTTTATTTAGATAATTTCTCTTTCGGTTAATTAACGACTCGCCAAGTGTGCGGAGGAAACTCTCTCTCTCTCTCTCTCTCTCTCTCTCTCTCTCGCTCTCTCTCTCGCTCTCGCTCTCGCTCTCTCTCTCTCTCTCTCGCGGTGAGATTTGTGTTTGTCCCCGTGGAGGAGCTCTTTTTCCGAACACCCGCGCGCATTTATACACAGACGGACGCGTAGCGGACTTTCATGAAAATTTATCACTTCTTTATCGGTAAATGTCGTAATCGGCCTACCGGTACCCACCAGATAATCGACAAACTGCAAGCGGAACCGATGATTCAGGGATCAGAGCAATCACAGGCTCTGTGTATGCACGGCGCTTCGTTTGCACTCTGCTAATGCAAATATCTGTGTTGCTGTAAAATCCCGTCGGTGAGGAAGGTGACAGAGCCGCCGAATCAGCCCCGGGTCTGTGGCGCTACACATTCCTGGTAATTGCGCTCGATTCAATTTTCGGAGCCGTGACGGTCAATCCGCGCCAAAATTATGGCACATTTGCGTGGAATCGCGGTGACATCGAAACTAGACGACGACGTCGTACATTTCTTTTCGCGTTTCGCATTTCAGAAGGAATAAAACAAACGCGACCGACGTCCCATCTTGCTTCACGAATATTAGATAGGCGCGAACCAAAGTCGTACTTTTATAATCAGTTTAGTTTCTTAATTGTTTTCGCCGCCGAGATTCCCAAGCAACCAGTCGATTGTCTCTCAGGTCATTCGCGTTGCATCGCGTTGCCTCGAATTAATCGCTATAGTGATTTCTCTGCCGTCACAATGGAGAAACACTTGGAAGCTCGAGTCGTTATTTTATCGCGAAGACAGGAATATATACCGCGATTACATTTTAATCCGAATTTATCTTATCGCATGCATTTAATACGTATCTTTTATGTTTTGAATGGGAATTAAAGTTTTTCGATATAGATTTCTCAAAAATGTGCCTGATCCGCTTTTATGGCACTTGCATTTGCAGATGTATGTAAATGTATAATAGACTAAAATTAGCCCACACACACACATATTTTTCTACTACGAAATCCATCAAAACACTCACACAATACTTGAAATTTCTCGATCATATCGTGTGTCAAGAAGCGTCTCTACCTTTCGTGTATTGTATGAGGAAAGATCGCGTTTGCTGCGCAGAAAATGCGCAACTATATATAGTATATAAACCGCAATTCCCTAAAAAGATATCCCAGATCTCAGATAGACGATGCGAATTATACGCAGAGTTTTTATCTTAATTAGACGCGAGTTTTCCTTTAGGTTGTGGAAACAGAAGGGGAGCGTGCAAAAAAAAGAACTATTTAACACAGCGCGACTTGTAGAAGCTTGAAACAAAGAGAGCCCTTGATCGATATTGTCTAGACGCGGAACCCTTTCGAGAGGGTGAATTCGGAAAGAGTTTTCAAGTGTTCTACGCGCTTTAGTATTCTACAGTCGCTTAACGTTCATCTCGGCACGTGAAAAGACACGAAGCGAGTTTGAGATAAATGTTAGAGATAGAGATATAAAGCGCTCTCTCTCTCTCTCTCTCTTTCTCTCTCTCTCTCTCTCACTCCGCAGCTGAAACTCGATACTCATCCGATACCGAGAACCACATGTTACAAAGTGGAGCAAAATGGGAGCGATACACGAAGAGAGAGTTGTCTCGCCCATTAGAAATTGAAGATCCGGCCACGCGTAGCGGTCGGCAAATTAATCGGCGGACTGACATGCCGAGGTCAAGGTTCACCTTCGCCGGTCTATCATCGTTTGAGCATCGTTGAGCGATTGGTCGATCCTCGGCATTTCTTTATTTCTTCTACAACGCGTGTCTCCTCGCTCACTTGGACTTCGCGTCGCAAGAACTCTTTAATACGTATGTGAAAGCATCTTTCAGCGTTTGTGAATACCAGCGCTTGTTTGTCATACCAGCGCGACAAGCAACGCTAAATGACGTATTCATTATGTGCTAATCGACCGTCGTCGCTATTCGTTCGTGAACTTCCCGCGGCCTTGACGTACGACTGAAAAATACATGGTACAAGTAGCTTCGAAATTACAGCGGGGAGATAGCATGCCGCGCGCGGCTTGTCCCGGCTTGTGCCGAGTGTTTGTCATCGAGTTATTTACATAAAAATAGCCGAGAAATAATCCGGGTCTTGCCTCGCGCGCGCGCGCGCGTTTTACATTCCTGTGTTACTCTCGCCAACCTCTGAGAGGTAAATCCCTGAAATCGCGGGAACAAATACGTCGCTTACGGCGCTTACGGCGTTTCGCGAGACGAAGAGAATCGTTGCGATGTAAATTGTTCATGTGACGTATATGGATCAACGTCACGGGGGGGGGGGAGGTGGGGAGGAGATACATTATTTAAACAAACGGGAAATTATTTAAGGGATTTATATTTGAGTACACGTCACGACACCTCGTTACCCTTAATTGACAACTCGTTATTCTCAGATCCGGCGGCATCGATCCGATCCAGTATCAAGACAAGAGAGAGACCGTTCGTGTCGCAACTCGAATAACATTGCATTGTTTCAAATGAATAGCGTGAAACGTGTTGTTATTTATACGAACCCCCCGGCGTTGGAGGCAGCTTGTGAATGAAAGAGAAAGAGAGAGAGAGAGAGAACAGAAAATCCGTGGAGTTGTCATCTGCGCGCGCACGCGTCTTCGGAATTAGTTTCCAGCTCCGTAGAGTCTACGAGCGCACCGTTATTGTATTAGCCCGTTAAAAGGAAACTTTTATTGCTTTTTGCTACGGGGTTGCGTTTACGATTTACAAACATGGTTGCAAGAACACGCTCGCGGTTTCCGTAGAACGTTACTTTTATGTTTTAACTCGATTTCGCAATTTTGTAATCTAACTTGCGCAAACTTTTCATTTCTCTCTCTCTCTCTCTCTCTCTCTCTCTCTCTCTTTCTTTTTTACGAGAAACGATTTAAAACTACATCTTCCTCGTGGGTTCAATTCTCTGCGGGTCACGGATTAGGATTTTTTCATCGAGCTGCGGTGTCGACAGCTGTCGAAAGATAAATTTATTTGCGCGCGTCCTCGATTTTTCACAGTAGAATCTCATTGTAATCACTACCATCTTTGACGGCGTGCGATGAAAAAAGGCGATATGAATTCTATTTCGTCGGAGGGGAGAGACGGTTTATCCGTATCGATGGGCAGTCATAGGCTGCATCTCGCTCGCGACCGTTTTTCTATCGATTTGTGTGGGAAAGTTCCCGCCGGCGGCGTCGCTTAATACTTGTTAACTTACTTCGCTCAACTTACGAGCGAGCGGCCGAGCGAAATTATTGTTTTCCGTAAATTTTTCAATGCTTCAATGTTTTCCCCGCGCGGACGTGCGCGAGAAGCAAACGCGCGCAAAAGATCCTCTTCTCTCTGTCGCGCCAGTGTGTACACGCTCGTTGGAAAATAATTTCCGAGTTAACTGATATCGAATGTGTTCGTGCCGTTTCTCTCTTTTCTCTCTTAATTATCCAATGGGTCGGGATCCCTCGCGATCTTCAATTTCGCTAGGAGCGATCCTCTGTAAGGTACACACAATTTCCCGCCTCACGTTTGCGGTTTGAATCGTGCGCTATCGTTCGATTCGACAGTGGATTTATTACACAATTAATTAACTCGAGTCGTGAACAAAGTAAATAGCGAAGCAACCATCATATCGCAACATTGAGAAGCTCGACGAATCGATAACGATCTGTGAACTCGAGATTGACAATGCCTTATTTGCGGCTAATCAAATTTGTGCTTGTTTACACTCTCTCTCTCTCTCTCTCTCTCTCTCTCTCTCTCCCTCTCTGAATATAATTTCACTTTCTTTTGCAGCAAGAATCCGATGTATATGATGAAAGGGGCTTATTAGTATGCTGGATAAGCGGCGGCTTCATGCCTCCGGTACGTCGCCATGCACCCTCATCTTCGTGGTCGTTTTGGCACTGACTGGATGTTTCTCGTTTTGGATCCACATCGACGGCTCAGGATCGCCGATGCCGTACTCCGGCGCCGGTGTGGCCGCGCCCGGGTATACCCTTATATTTCCCGGCAACGTCACCACGCCGTCTCCGCAGCCCTACTCGATAAACGAACTTCCGTCCGATGATAAATCCACGCTGATCAACATCAAGGACTTTAGATTCACCATCAACCACAGTCCGTGCAATCGCACGCAGCCGTTGCTGCTCATGTTGGTGCACTCGGCGCCGGAGAATTTTCTCAAGAGGCACGTCGTACGGGAGACTTGGGGTCAACAAACGCCGGACGTGACTTTATTATTTCTCATAGGATACTCGGAGAAGTATCAGTCCAAGCTCGAGGAGGAGAACAAGAAATACCAAGACTTAATACAGGGAAACTTTCTCGATGCCTACAGAAACATGACCTACAAGCACGTTATGGGATTAAAGTGGGCTACTTATTATTGTCCAAGTAAGTCTCCGCGCGCGCGCGCACGCCTTCACAATTCGATTCCTAACTCGGCCTCGCTGTTTGTCCCCCCCCTCCCCCTCCCCCCCCTCTCTCTCTCTCTCTCTCTCTCTCTCTCTCTCTCTCTCTCTCTCTCTCTCTCTCTCTCTCTCTCTCTCTCTCTGCCCCGCTCCCGCTTTCTTTTCATTTCCAACATTGTGTCGCGCACGATATCGGCAACTAGGAAAATTCGATAACGCCGAAAACGAGCGGAGTCGATTAAGTGCTGGCCGGATTGAATGCCGGGGATCGGATCGGCAGAGTGAAAATAACACGGATGATTTGTGTAGAGTGGCTCTGCCATTCTCGTGTGCCATTCATGTCATTCGTCGTGCCTATCTCGGCACAATTCGCGCGCGCGCGCGCGACAGATATACGACAGAAATTTAATCTCATTCTGCCGATGCATCACTGTCATCTAACGCGCGACATCTACCGATCTCTGAACACGCATGATTATCGTCTCTAGCTCTTTCCTCTCTTTCAGGTGCCAAATATATACTTAAATTAGACGACGACGTTTTTGTTCATTTACCGGCCATGCTGGACTTTCTCACGCATGGCCTGTCGCCCTGGGGTGCAAGACGTCTGATTCTCTGTGATCTTCTGTCGGCTTCCGCAGTGAAGAGGTCCTGGCGCTCCAAGTGGCGGGTCTCCCCCCAGGAGTATCCCGGCAGACTTTATCCCGCGTACTGTGCCGGATGGGCGATTCTCTACTCGCCCGATAGTGTATTTATACTGTACCGCGAGGCCCAGAAGGAGCCATATTTCTGGATCGACGACGTGCACATTACCGGGACACTGGCTAGGAAAGCGAATCTAACGCAAACCTCATTACACTCTTGGGTGCTCACGAGCGAGAGTATGCGGGACCTGCTGTCGAACCCGGGCGCTCGACGGGATTTTCTGTTCGGGCCCCCGGACTTAACGGAGAGCGGAATACGAGCCTTATATAGTCTGGTTACTAAATCACGGCCTAGCAGCGAAAGCCTATTGAACTAAACGTCTAATAGAACAATTTCGTTATATGTAATTTGGTCGTCGTAACCGCGCGGCTAATTGCACGTGGGGGAGATGACTGGGAGGAGGAGGAGTAGGAAGCAAATGTGGATCTAGCGCGAACGCTCTCGTGTACTTTCCGCGTATATCGATTCAATCGCATCAATGTGTCCGTGATGTCGTTTTCGACATCAATTGGTGTTCGATTATTTGCACAATGTACAAACGCCATGCTACGCATAATATGACATCACATGATGGTACGTTACGCGCAAACACAAGTGTCGCGCGCGCGCGCGCAACACACGTGTAACGGACCATTATGCATTTTTCGTCAGACTTCATTACTTATTTATATATTCCGCCGGTACATCCGAATATTACATCTTGATTTATTCGCTTACCGAGTTAATTTTAAGGATATGTTAAGGATTGATACGTTAATTTTAAGGATCTCGTTCTATTCAAAACGCATTTCTGGACTGTCGTTCTATAATCAGGGCTCGCGATTAAATGTTTCTTCGCCTTCAAGGTAGTTTGTTCATTGACAATATTGACGAAAAGTTAATGATTGGTGTAGTATGTGAACTTCGAGTCCGTGAAATTTGTGAAACTCAATTTTTCCATTCAAAAGTCACAAAGAAATATTAATTTCTCGCTCTTTACACATAGTCGGGACTGTCTGCGTTATGCGTGTGTGTGATTCTCGTATATACGGATACGTGCACACTAATGCACGCTATTCAAGAAATGATGCGACATCTCTTAATACGTTGGGTGTAACATTGGTGGACAGATGCGTGACATGTTCATTGCATTATATTAATTACATGGTATGTCGTATTCGTTACATTCGACGTTAATAAAATTAAATTTATAGTTTCTCACATATCTAACTAACATATATAATTACGAAATGAATACGTTATAAAGTAGACGATCTGAGCTGTACATTTGATTACTTTGTTTGCAGTGTTGTCAGATTTTCGTAAATTATACTTCAATCGTTATTAGCGACTGTGTATTTCACGCATTGATTCTTTCAAAACTAAACGACTAAAGATCTTGTACCTTCGTAAAAATATTTCTGCGTCTCTCTTTTATCGCCCTTTTGTTTTTCATTAGAACCGTAGGAGTATTTAAAAATAAAGTGATATCGAAAGCCGTTATATAATGTTACTGCCGTTACTGTTGTAATGTTTTCTTCAATTACTGCGACCGTCACATCGTAATGTCACGGTAATAAGAAAGATTGATTCGCTTTTTTCCGTCTGTACACCGTATCCTGTAATCGATCGGTTGTTTGATCATCATGTACAACGCACGCATCATATATGCACGCACACAGCTTACGAGCCCTGATTACATTTGTACAAAGTGCAAGGAAAATCTCTCAAGAGATTCATTCATAGTCCAGAACATGAATTTGTTATTAAGAGAGTCAAAGAGAGAGAGAGAGAGAGAGAGAGAGAGGGAGAGGGGGAGAGAGGGAGAGAGAGAGAGAGAGAGAGAGAGAGAGAGAGAGAGAGGAGAGGGGGAAGAGAAGATTGGATATTTTTTTATTTACACTTACGAAAATGCCAACGGGGTGCGAGGAGTTGTAGCGTTAGTACTTAAAACAGGAAACTACAATATATGCGAGACTTACCGTGTATCTTGCGCGATCGAAACATCCTTCGTCTCGCGACGGCGACAGCGACGGTGACGGCGACAATGACGAGGGAAATTTGCGCGAGGAAGGAGAGACTTCACTTCATCGCCTTTCCCCGCGAATTCGCCGAATCCGATCGGCGACAAGCGAGGGGCGGTAATCGGAAGAGGTCCTCGTTTCGCGCGAAGTCATATTTGTGAATGTACTTAAATGTAATGTAACATGACGGACAAGTTTGAGATATTATACTGTTACGCAAAGGAACATTAAAACGAGTCGACTTAATATTGTTACGTAGCAACAAGTACAACCCCAAAACAAGGGTCCACTCGCAACTAGATGCAGAGATCGCAGATATCTGTCCATTTTTGAATGTCTGTAGATTTTTTATGTGAATCCGTTGGATTAAACATCCCGATTGTTCCGGTACTATGAAGGAGTATGTGCCTGCAAATTGTACTAAAAACGCGTGCCGAGCGCGAAGGTATGACCGCGCGCTAGCTTTTAATTAACCGGCGATTTCGTTAGGATCGGTGCGGTTTTCGACGTGTGACGAAAAAGAAGGAAGCAAAAACCGTTGTGTCGTACACCTCGCATACTGTTACTGTGTGTCACGTTTTTCATCCGAGATACAACGAACGCATCCACGTTAAAAAGTCACAAACACACACATTCATGGAATTCCACATCTCGCGCCTCACTCTCACGTTCGAGAGGGGCCGTACACGACTTCCTCCATCGCGACCGCGACACTACAAGCACAACAAAGCGTACTCTGGCTCGAATCGTCAATTGAACGGTGTTGTGTCGATTCGCGCGTCGATTATAGTCGACGGAGAGATCGATGGCTACTAGTTAGTGAAACGTGTCACACACACACACACACACTCGAGTGAGTATTCACTCACTCGAGACGAATATTCTCAAACTTTTTTACTCGTATATACACATACATATTCGGTTCTTTCTTGTTCTTTTTCTTGTACATAGGATCATGTCATCGTGTGTCATCGTTTCGGGATGGAGATATCTCTATTGCGATATCGTCGAGAAATTACGATTGCATAGTATAATATAACATAATCTTTATGATGGAGTAAATACGTATAATTTCAATAAACGATGAATTATTTCAATTACACACGGTGTATCTCTCTCTTCTCATCGGTGGTGCTCTTACTCTTCTTCCGATTCGCGCTGCTGCTGCAATCTCGTCTAACGATCGCAGGGTGGCGAAGAGAGTACAGAGGTAGAGTCGTATAACGTACAATCGGATATATATATACTTTATTGGTCCAGCTCTGTCTGTTTAACTACGTAGACTACTATTTATAAAACTTTACAAAATGCTCAACGTGTTGCAATATATAGGGGAACCTTGCTTAGGTATATATTTACAAGGCAACGGAGTTTACGCGACTTCTAAGAATCGACTGCGACGAACAAGCTGTTGCTTAATCAATATAATTATCGCAGGTTCCTCGAGCGTCCTGATTACGCGTTGTATCGTGTGATATATTTCTCGGATTAAGATATTTTCTCGTCGTTTCGAACACAACGCAAACTCGGCGCGAGTAGGAACTCGGGCACTGGTCTAAAAACGACGAGACGAAGTCGCTACGAATACGCGAATGATTCTCCGTATATAAACGATACGGATGTAAAGTTCAAGAGAACATCATCATGCTGTACAGCATCGCGAGGCACGTTCAACCCCATCTGTATCCTGTACCTGCACATTTTATCTGAGCGCACGAGCTTGGTGATTCACACGCTTGCAAACTTTTTCACATGATTTTCTTGGAAAGAATCAGCGCGAACGCCCGAAAGCGCCTGCCAGTGAAGCGGACAGCCAACCAAGCCGTCGTCATGACTGGTCTACATGACGATGCAATATCTCGTGCGCGTCATTAATTAATTCGTAAATTATCGTAAAATTATCATTCTTACTATATATGCTAATGATTAATCGGTGGATTAAATTACCTATCATCGGGCTCTAATTTGTATATCGTTCGGTTATCATGTCAAATAATGAGAGAACATAATTACAAAATACAGAGTATTGCGTGTCACGCGAGAGCGAGCTGTATCGCGGGAAATTCGGAAACGATCGTTCTAGGATGAGGGTAATTTGACGGTATTGAGGGTATCATCGTCGAAATCAACAACACTTTTACATTAACATCATTGATCGGTCGTTTGTTAAAAGCAAACGATACGAGAGAGAGCCGTGTGATAATGATTAAAATTCCTAGGTCACATACACACGAAGGGATACTGCGATATGACGATGTATTTAAGCGAAGTCACATACGTGTCTCTATTAAAATTATTTACAGTCCGACATGTAAACTATTTGTCTATCTATAAATTCGTTAACGATCTCCCGATTTAGTGACTTTTCCTCGAGAAATTAGTTGAAAGGGTGTGTCTTCCAATCGTCGTTTATAAATGTTCCGACGCGAAAACACAAGGTCGTCCCTCGGTCTCTCATTCGCGTTCGGCGTAAGTCACAAAATGACACGTGCGGTGTTTCTCAGTGCGTTCAACCATCGAAAATCGAGACTCGATTATATCCTATAAAAATTGGCAGTATACAAACAATTCATCACATCAAAAGTTTATATATATATATATATATATATATATATATCTATATATATCTATATATCTATATATAGTATAGTATATATAGTTAAAAAAGATATAACGAACGTTAAGATTGGTGACGTTTACATTGATCCTTACAATGTTGATTCAAAGAAATCGGAGGAGGGGACTCTCCGTAACGCGTTATAGACTACAACTTTTTTTCTCTCTTTCTTTACAATCTAACAAACTCGTCGCCTGTGATAATTACGCGCCGATAATTACGTGTAGTAGAAACAATTTTACGCTCTAACGCACGATTGCACTCGCATGTGTACGGAGCCCACGCATTGTGAAATCCTCATCCGCGATATCATTACCGCGGACAAAGCTTCGACGAAGTATCAACGCGACACATTTCAACGCAACGGAACACGACTAAAAGTTTGTAGTAATTTATTTAAATGTAAAACAAAATTGAACCAACGAAAGCGAGAAGGGAAAAGGCGGGAAGAGAGAGAGAGAGAGAGAGAGGGGGGGGAAGAGAGAGAGAGGGGGGGGAGAAAGAGAGGGGGAGAGAGAGAGAGAGAGGAAGGAAAAGACTCAACTGGACAGTAAATTGATTCGGATATTAAACGATGCAAGTTGACACCCGAAACTTAAATTTGGCCCCGTATATCGCGCACCTCCGCTCTAACAGTTTCGATTCTCCACTTATGTTTCACTTACTCTGTAAACTCGAGAGAAAAAGAATCTAATACGAACGTATACGGAGAATAAAAACGCGTAGAAAACGTATAAGAGCTAAGGGTAGTGTACTGTTTGTAATCTTCTAATCTGATATCCTTTCGAAGACGCTGCACGAATGAAAAAACTCGTGAATCGTCGATCGTACCACTCGTCGGAGACCGAATGACCGACACGGCGATGCGTGTCGGTTTAATCGAATCTCGTTGCGCGTGACGACAATTTCTCGGTGACGACCGCTCGAGCTATTACGACGGTGTGACCGAGCATCAAATTCGGACTACCATGACCGCGGTGGATGACTGCGTTAGCTGTCTACATCTCCCGACTATTCGCGCGCGTCGCAACAGATTCGACTACGAGCTACGTCACTACGTGTCCGCAGTTAACAATTTTACCTCCCGCGATATACTTTCTACGTGTCGCTCTCCTTCTTCTTCCCGATCGATCGGTCTCGGCCGATCGTTCGGTCGAGGAAACGCACACGTTGGGTAACAGTTGGTTCACAGTCGGTGCGTAACGATAAATTTCGACACGTGGCAAAAGTGCACGTGCGTCACGTACGGCAAAGGAGTAGGAGTAATCGAGTTACCGCCACTGTCACACCCACCTTGCTAGAAACCTAGAGCACTTAATATTCAGGTACTAATTACATTATCGTGGAGTGTGTGTGAAGATTCGATTACTTGGCTTTACGCGCCGACGGTGCCGATAGAGTCGATACTTTAACAACAATACACGGCCAATGATGCGTCTCGGCTAAACGCCCCCCGCGCTCCCTCGCGGCATTCGGATCGCGCGTGGAGTTCAGAAGCGCGCACGCGGGGCGCACCGTTACACTCGCGAACGTAAGTAAGTCGTAAGTAATTTCGCGCCGAGGGGTCTGCAAAATAGTGACGGGGGGAGACGGGAGCGCGAGTGAATCCGCCGACACGGGTTCGCGCGCGACAAGCGCCGGAGCGCTCCGCGTCGATTCTCGCCGATAATCATTTCACCTGCTACCCGCCGCGGAAGCGGGGACTTCCCTCTCGCCCCCGCGCATTTCGACCTCGAGACTTTGCCCCGCTCCTGCCAAGGGCCGGCGCGGTTAATGCTTTAAAACTTTATCAATATTCAACGATTTTCAAATCTCCTACGGCGGCGTTCCCGGACGGAGACCAGCTCCGTGCGTTATACATATATTTCCATCTATCGAGAAACGTAACGATGGCTGCGCGGTTGATCGTTCTCTCTCAATCAACGTATGCATGTGTATATATATAAACGCTATTTCTTTTCTCCTCGTAAACACACCCTACACACGATAGGGAAGATATCGATCAGCCGATGTAATACCTGCGCGATTACTATTCGCGCGCAGCTAATCGCATAGTCAACGACAAAGTGGCCGCTGATAGGCACGAGCTGTGTCGCGAATTTACATCAAATTTGCCTCACACGCACAACATACACACGTCGCTCAAAACTGCACGATGCAAATGACGAGGCATGCCTAAGAGCGAGGAAGTTCCAATTTGACGGAGTATCTAAGCTGTTTCTTGCTTGGCACACGGTGAACATGCACACGCATACACACACACACACACACTCACACTCACACACACGCACGCACACACACACAAACGCACGCGCGCGCGCACACACACACACACACACACACACACACACACATGTACACATACTCTTTAATACTATGCTTTCTATATACGCCTCCTTGGACATTCGATGAAACTGATGGAGGGAGGGGGGAGGGGGGTGAAATTATTCATCGTGAGGTTCCGCGAGGAAATTTCTAAAGAAAGTGGACATTACATAATTTCATCTTCCTTTTGGTGAAAACGTTGATGAATGAGCAAAACTATCGCGAATCGTGTCTCTCACTCCAAACTTCTTCCTTTCACGCCCGACCTAGTCGTTGAATTGCGTTTAGCCGGTCGCGTGCTCTTTCACGTGGCACTAAATACCTCAACTAACGTATATCACGTAACACGAATAAATATTTTGCTAAACGCGCGCAATTTACGTTTACGACTCAATCTCTACTCGATACGGACTAATGTAAACTTTATTACCGATGCTCAGTGCAGTCGATCGTTCTTAGCAGCTATCGCAGCGGGAGAGGCGTGTGTTTGGGGATACCCCTAGAGAGAAAGAAAGAAAGAGGGAGAGAGGGGGGCGGAAGAGAGCTTCGTCTATAATTGTCGTCCGTCGGTTTGCAACCACCGCGAGAGTATTCCCCTCACGCGCGTGTCACGTGTCACGTATTCCTTTTTTCTCACGCTACTATTTTACTTTCCGCTTATGCCTGGCGACTGCGAGCGCGCCGGCTTTTACGCTAATGGTCCCCAACCTTCCTAAAGAGCGACCCTAAATTGTCCGGAAGTTGTACGGCCATACGACAAACGCCAGGAAAGAAACGCAAGGGGGCGCGGCGCCGGCAAGAATGCAACACGACGATGGAACGTAATGGGGATGGGGGGATGGGGTAGTAGTGCGCGGGCGGGCCGCGCACACGCGTAAAAAATGCGGTGATACATACCGACGAAAGAAATACAGATGGCGGTTCTTGGCGTTGAAACGATATCCGCAAACTTTCGAAATCCGCGTGCATGCCGTATCGCGGGACGTAGCATCCCCGTCGCGCGAGTAACGTCGCGACGAAACAAGCAAAACTTGGCCCGCACGGTTTGCTAAAGCAAACAACGTCCGGCGAAAAGTCAGGCCGACCGGCTGCGTCGCTCGCAAAGTTGCGCAAAGTTTGCGAGCGACGCGCCGAATGGAGGAGAAAAGTCTCGCCCCGTCGTCCCAGACTCCGCGCGCTCCAGGGTCGGGGTCGGGGTCGGGGTCGGGGTCCTACCATCCTACGCCTCGTCTACGCGTCTCGCGCGATCTACACGCTGGTGGTGATCTGCTCGATGACGGTGATGTCGCGGTGACGACGCGGTCGGGTCCGATACGGGTCCTGATGGCTGAGGCCCTCCGGCACGCTCTTGCTCGGCCTGAGGGGCGCGTGGAACTGATGGGGGTGGTAGTAGTGTTCGGCGTCGTGCATCCGCTCCAAGTCCCGATCGCGTATGTTGTCCTCCACCATGTCCAGCGGCACGTGCAACGACTGCGACTTGGGCAGTCGGGGCCGCGGCGGTGGCGGACAGGCGCACGGCGGTGGCGGCGGCACGACGCCGAGGCTGGATAGCCGCGGCCCAGGTAGGATCGGCGACGCCGGCTGCCGCCCCCAGCCGACCAGGAAGAGCAGGGCCGCGCCGCACAAGGAACTCAGGGTGCACGCGTAGTAGCCCACTCGCGGGCTGTTCGCGTTCATGTAACCTGCCGAACGTGTGCGCGTTATTTCCAGAGAAATAACGTGTCATCTCATTGTCGCTTATCTCATTGTTGGATAACGTTGTGCGAGGGTGAGAGAGAGGGGGAGCTCTCTCTCCCTTCCTCTCCCTCTCTCTCTCTCTCTCTCTCTCTCTCTCTCTCTCTCTCTCTCTCTCTCTGTACGTCGTCCACCGCGCCGCTTTCGCACGTGCGAACGAATCAATTTCCCGCGTTTGTCGGGTCTTACGCAATCTCGCCAAACTCTCCCCCTCCCCGGGGAAATAATGCGATATCGGGCGACAAGGGGCGTGCGATTGCGCTGAGAAATTCCGGGGGAGTGAATTTAAGCTCTTTACCGTGCGACCGAAACTTGCAGCAGCTCTCGCGCGCAGCGCGCAGCAACAAGCTCTCTCTCTCTCTCTCTCTCTCTCTCTCTCTCTCTCTCTCTCTCTCTCTCTCTCTCTCTCTCTATCTCTCTCTCTCTCTCTCTCTCTCTCTCTCTCTCTCTCCACAAGGGAGCCTTGTGAATACTGCGCGCGTGTGGCGCAGTTGTGTCGCGCTCCCCCTTAAATATTCTCTCAGGAACCGGCTAGACTCCGGGGCGCGCCTGAGCATTTTCCGAGGGCTCTATGCATTATTATTACTAAGGACGCCGGCATTAAATTCATACGCAAGGACCGTAAGACTATCAGCAAGGGACGGATTTTTAACGAGAAGCGAGCAGAGCGAGGCCGGCAGCGGCTGGCCGGCCTTCGTCCAGCCAGGTCCTCCCGCAGCGCGGCTGTTTCAACACGCGACAAACTTGTTTCGAACGAAACATCTGTGAATTTTCGATGCCAAAGTTCAGCGCGCGCGCGCTCGTCGAAATCTCGTGTGGAAGAGACCGCGTGTGTATTTTTTTTCGTCAGCGAGCGAGTGCGAAACTCAATCCCGCGAGCACGAGTCGCGCGACAGAGGATTTTCTGCACACGGCGAATCCTGCTCTCTCTCTCTCTCTCTCTCTCTCTCTCTCTCTCTCTCTCTCTCTCTCTCTCTCTCTCTCTCTCTCTCTCTCTCTCTCTCTCTCTCTCTATCTCTATCTATCTCTATCTCTCTCAGTAGTTGCCGCTAATGGGAGGAAATAACAGTCTCTCTCGCCATTAACAACTCTGTTATTTTAGACGTAACTTTCTCCCAACGCCAAGTGTCTCGAGTGTCTGTTCGAAAAATGTCTCGCCAGGTGCTCGTCGTAATCAGGTGCGTCGATTCCTGCCGCGCGATTCGTGTCGCGAAGAGACGATCGCGCTTATTCTCGTGCAAAGTTCGCGAGCGCGAGCGCGTTCTCTCTGTGTGATGTAGCGTACCTGTGAGAGGAACTCCGAGTAGGATCGGTAGAGCTTCCGCGGCTTGCACCAGAGCCCACGATCTGGCAAAGTGTCTGGCCCGCAGTCTTTCCAGAGCTAACATCTTGAGGGAGTAGAGCGCGCCGCCGAGTGAAGCGCCGTAAAGCCCGGAGGCCAGTACAAGTCCGTGATATCCTTGTACGCTACCGAGCGCCACTTGAGCTATGGCTTTAAGCAAAGAGGGGGAACCTAATTCGAATCGCTAGGTTCTCGAGAACGAGCAATCTTCGATTCTCTACGTCTACGCGAGTTGTTCGCCTGCGAAACTCGAGCAACGTACACACATACGCGTGCGTAGGTTTGACAGGTAGCTACTCGTTATACACAAAACTCTGAATTTATCGGCAGGAACGTGCACGGGGGCGACTCGAGCCCGAGGGAGTTTCGTCCCTGAATCGGACTTGGTTCCGATACAAACTTTGTTTCTCCTCGTCATTCTCGTAAAACTCTCTTTCTGTAAAACTCTCGAATTCCCCGCAACACTAATTTCTCCGGAATTCTGCTCGAAAGAAGAATCAACGGACAAAGGAACGGGTTTGCAGGCGAAGCGAGGCAACCGGGGCTTGCCGGGAGAGAGACCGGGGGCGTGAAGCAAATAAAAGAGCGAGAATGGACGATCGTAGTTCGAAGCGAGCAAAGATTTGCAATGTTTCGACGTTTGGTGATCAAGCTGTGCGCGTCCCGCGCGCGCCGCGCCACCGTCGGCGTCGATTAAACGTGAGCGAGCGTCTCTCTACCGCAGCAATTTCAACTCGCGCTCTCGCGCGGTTAACTATGGAACACGCGGCTGCGAAAGTAGCCGCGCGATCGGCGAAAGTTCGGACGAGGAACGACCACGAGGAGGTGTGTACTGACCGACCCCGATGAGCGCCGCTTGGCAGAGATATTGCCTGGACACTAGGCACTGAGCGGAAGGTCTGGCGGTAACTACCCCCCAAGCCGCGCATCCCAGAGCCGCCGCCAAGCCCAGACAGGTCTGCAGCAACACCAGCGCGCTCGCCTCCAGCCCGTCCTGGTAGCCTTGCAGTGCCTGAAAGTGATGTTTCTCATTAAGGGATCGACGCCGCGAAAACACGCCGCGCGCGCGCGCGCGCCGGCTACGGATCTGACCGATAATGCGGACAATGCCGCGCCGCTAATGACGCTTCATCACTAATATCGATTATCGAAATTGGCTCGTCTCTGTGCCGTGATTAGAGGCGAGGGACAGAGAGAGAGAGAGAGAGAGAGAGAGAGAGGATCGCACGATTTTGCGAAACTCGGGGGCTCCATCGATTGGCGCGAGGCGAGCTCTCTCTCTCTCTCTCTCTCTCTCTCTCTCTCTCTCTCTCTCTCTCTCTCTCTCTCTCTCTCTCTCTCTCTCTCTCTCTCTCTCTCTCTCTCTCTCTCTCTCTCTCTCTCTCTCTCTCTCTCTCTCTCTCTCTCTCTCTCTCTCCTCTCTCTCTCTCTCTCTCTCTCTCTCTCTCTCTCTCTCTGTCTCTCTCTCGCCGCCCCGGTATGAGCGTGTGACCGTAACTTGCAGACACTCTTTAACTACCAGAGCCGTAATAACTATTAATAACTGCTAATATCCTTTCCGCAAAATAGATTATGTGGTCTTAGGCGAGACTTGCGTCGTTAACCCCCTCGGTGGGAAATACGTGCCACCGGCGTCGCCGACGGCCTCGCAGCGACGACTACACCGGCGCGCGTTCGGTGAACGCGAACGTGTGTTCTCGTCAATTTTCACCGAGACACACACACACACACACACACACACACATCAAGGTGATGGGAGGCTGAGATGCCGACGAGTTTCGGAGACGCAAACTAGCGCGAAAGTACGCGATCAAGTAAAATCCGCAAAATTGCCGCGTCTCGAGCTTCAAATTACTATCCTGCTCGGTGTGACACCTCTGCGGACACCTGGTGTCCACCTCGCTGCTATCACTCGTGAAATCACTCATGGGTTTTCTTTCCAGCGAAAGTTACTCTGCTAGTTTAGTAAGTAAGCCTAGCTAAATGATTCCCTGTACTGGTCATCGACGGTCACGCGCGAGGTCGTTACCCTCTCCAAAGGATCCCGTACAAGGATCGACACGATGTGTGACTCTCGGACTCGGATTCGTCGCGACAACTCGCGAAATAAGACTCTGGAGAACGAAAGGAGAAAATGAGATTCGGTCGATTCGTCGAAACTTCGATCGATCTTCGATGTCGGTGCCGCGCGCGAAAACGCGCGAAAACGCGCGGAAACGCGCGGCGGCTCGCGAGCGGCCGTTATTTCGCCCGGGGAGAGTCCGGGCACTGTGAGTCAAAGAGACACACACGCCCGGTCCTCTCGCTCTTCTCCCTATCGCCGAGTGCACTTACAATGTAGAAGGCGGGGGTGTAAAGACCGAAACCGGCAGCGCCAGCGGCCAGCATGAGCATTCTCACAGGACGCGATCCCAGAGGACTCAGGTCGACCAGCGGCTGCCTCGGTACCTTGTTCGCGGACTTCTTCTCCTTCACTTTGCCGCGCTGGTTCTTCAGATGCAATATGGCGCGCCGTTGCGGGTGGTACAGCGAGGCACTCCGGTAAATCAGCCCCAGGAAGAAGGCCAACGAGAGTGCTCCCGTTACCGATTGGAGCCCCAGCCTCCAGCCCAGCTTCCTGCGGGAACACAGCGCGGGCGCGCGTTTATGATCTTCTCAGCTGACGCGGCTCCTACATCGAGCGAGTCAAAGTGCGCCTTCGAGAAGAAGGTTTGCTGTGTTTTCTGATTTTATTCCTTTCGCCACTTTTTGCCGCCGTTAACTCGGAGCCTGCCATTCGCGAATTACCGTTGCCGTCGAATGCTTCAACATTTGCGTTCAATCGAGTCTACGCGCGTTTCATGTACGCGGATACGGATACGAGATTGTCGCGACGTGCGTGATTTGTTCTTTGCTTTTCTTTTCTTTTCTTTTCTTTTCTTTTCGCTTAATAATTCGATACCTGCGATACGAGAGAGAGAGTCGAGATTAAACGACCGATGGATCCGTCGCATAGCCTGGATGGAATTCTTCCGAGATGCAATTCGAGCGCGGAATTTATCGGTGCGTGTCCTTGGAAAGACGTGATCGATGGGGTCGCGGTCGCGATCGCGGGAGATGTCGTATACTACCATCTACTAGCAGCAGATGCAAGAAGCGAGGGTTGAGGGGAGGGGGGAGGGGTGGGGAGGCGAGGAAGCTTGACGCAAACTTTGTAAAAATTTGCGTAATTAGTTTGACGAGATAATAAGAAGCCGCGGCACCGTGAACGATGAAGTTTAACGATCTCGCGGATTTTTAAAGTTCAAACATTATGCGTCATTATTCGCGCGCAACTCCCGCAACTTGTAATAAAAGTTGCGTAATAAAATAGCTCTCGCGCGACAGTGATATAGCGATGCCATTTACGATGCGTGTGCGCGATGCTCCCATATTATTTCATTACACGAGCAGTTGCAAAGTTCACACGTGTACAAATAGCCGGGGCGCTTGCCCCGGCCCCGGCCTCGGCCTCTCGGCGATGTCGCGCCTTCGTCGCGACCGGAGAAGGAAAAGTCCGCGGCGCCGCGCCCTTCGCCCGCGCTCCCATGTCGCGTTTATTCTTCAAGCCCAATTTGACAGGGGAATGTATTAAGCTTGTCAAGTATTAACAGCCCGTGGATATACGTATATGCTCGACATTGCTTATATGCTTTAATATTTTCGTAGCGCAGTCGGACCGCCGTTCCGCGACGGCGAATTGCGCTTACCTCAATATTTCAGCAGAGCCGAATGAGGAGGGATCCGATCGTAACATGAAACGCGGCTGAAAGGAACGAGTTTGTTCGAGAGAGAGCGTTCGGCAAAACTGAAATTTAATTTTCCGGGCATTTTCAAAGCGCTCCCGCTCACACACACGCGCGTGTACACCCGCGTGTTTTTTTCTGAATCGATAATTCTCTCGACACTGTAACGATCGGTTCGGTTAAAACGATCAACGGCTGGAATTTGCGTTACTCTCGGTAATATCTCGAAATAACAAGCGAGCCCCGCAAGAGTCATAAAATTATAACAGCAAATTGTAACAATATTTATGGGTCAAGAGATAAGGGGGGCGAGAGGAAGGGCGGGAGGGAAGGGGGGGAGAAAGAGAGAGAGAGAGAGAGAGAGAGAGAGAGAGAGAGAGAGAGAGAGAGAGAGAGAGAGAGAGAGAGAGAGAGAGAAGGGAGAGAGAGAGGAAAGAGAGGAGATTTTCAAAGGAAAAAGGCAACGTTCGCGTTTAAATCTGGGCATTAAACGGCTAGAAGAAATTAATTAAACCGTTAGCCGGCGGAATTAACTCTCGCGCGCACCCTAATTATATTCAGAAATAGAATTATTTAAACATACGGAAATGCTTTCTCCCCCACTTTTTTTCCGTTTTTTTTTTTTTTATTAAATCCATTATGGACGCGTTTCTCCGGCTTTAGCCCCCTTGAGTGGAAAATACGCGCGGACGCAGCCGTAAAATTTTTTTTACGTCCTGCCATTTGTACGCCGGTGGAGAGTATGCATACTCGCCCCCTCTTCTCCCCCTGCCTAACGTGCGCGCGCGCGCGCACGTAAGGATATTAAAATAAGAAATAAAATAACTACGCGACGAGGTGGGTTGGGGTGGATTACGCGCAGACGGTCTTCTCCGTGCGTATTTAACGTATCGATGCGACGGCAGGAGTGTTGCGCTTTAACTCCTCCCTTGATCCTTTGGCGCAAGGATAATGAGGCAGCGGCTCATGACTATTCATAGTACATATTTGGTTTTTATCGCGCGACTCGACCCGTTATCCGCGCGCGCGCGCGCGCGAACGGTAAAATTTATTTTTCACGGCGCGGCGTGCCGTGCCGCGCCTTTTCTCATTCGCTCGCCATCGAAAATGCAACGTGCATTAAATGTTCATCATGCATTCGCGGATCGACGATCGCTCGATAACGCACGGCGCGTGTAAAAGACCGCATCGTCGAATGGTCGCTACGCATTCGATGAGTTTTCTCTACAGAGGCAGAGCAGAATCCGAGAGAGAGAGAGAGAGAGAGAGGGGGTGGGAGAGGGCGAATTACAAAAAATGCCGACTAGTGGTGGCTCGCTGTTGCGTTTGCAATCGGAGCGCGTTTTCACGTCCGCGAGTCCGTGTCATTACTGGCGGAATTATATCTGCACTCCCACACGCGGTCTTTTTTCGCTTGGAACATATTGCTCGCTCTCTCTCTCTCTCTCTCTCTCCTTCTCTCCCGACCCGACACCGTCCTACGCGCCACGGTAAACTTAAACTCTATACCGCATGCGACCACCCACGCGATATAACGCGTAGGGAATCCACAATTCGCCTGCGTCACGCGAAAATGCGCCGTCGAATTTGCGACAACGAGGGGAAAAACAGGTGCGCTCGTGCTCCGTGACAATTAGACAGCGGGGATAAATATAATTTCCGCTCGATTGAAAAATTATTTTATTCATATTACTCGCGCGGTATACTGTCGTTTCTCGCTCGAGCGATTAACAACACCGCGTCGCTCTCTCGGCTCGACGTTACGTTACGCAAAATATGCGACGCACGATAACACGCGGACATATATAACGGCGCGTTGCATTATATTAGTCTCGTTTAAAATAATATTCAGCACGTACTATGTGTTCGGCGTATTGATTCGACTCGATAGATTTGTCCGACGAGCGGATAAACAACGTTCGGACCGTCGAGGGTGATCCTCGATTAATTTTTAACGCGCTTGCACGATGCTCTGAGTCACGGATTAACGAACGTTTCCTCCTTGGGCTGCGCTTACATTTTTCAAGCTTGCTACAAGAGAAGCGCGGTTTGCGATCTCGCGGAGGAAAAAAAGAGGGGTAGGAACAGAGAGAGAGAGAGAGAGAGAAGCACGAAAGGATGAAGTAGAATCCACCGAAAAAGGAACAAATCTAACATCACCGCCATAATCACGGAAGAAATTCGCGGCGGCCGGTGAACCGTATCCGCATTGCGGTGCGATCCTCGCTACGCGAGGATAGAACACGAGGATTATCCGCGGTTGATTTCAACGGGTAACGGTAACGTTTTAATCCGGAAACGAAAGCTCAACGGCCACACCAAGACACTTGATAAATCTAATAATTTGCTCTGAGAGATTCGCGCACGACTTGCCGTGAAATCGCGGCGATCTCCTTCGCGAGAGATGCGGAGGACGAGAGGTTGGGGGTTTCCCAAGATCGAGGCGCGATTTCGTCGTCGCCGTTGTCGATTAAAATTCCGATATATTTTGCAAGTGTCATATATACCTCCGGTATATATGACACTTGCAAAATTTCCGTAATACAATCCAGCCCGGAGTGTATCACGCCGAGCCGTCGGACAAACTTGACCAGTTACCGAGTAAGCCGTATCGACTTAGCGAGTTGCTCCAACAACCTGATGATATTACGCCCGCTGCTCCAGAAGAGCCCGATCTCTAATTGGATATGCTTTTATATGACCGGTAGGAGCCGTTGCGCGGTAACGGCAATTAAGCGGCGCGTTTAATAAGCCACATCTCGCTGCTGCAACGATCTCGCCTGTGTCTACGCGCGCATGTGCGAGAGAGAGAGAGAGAGAGAGAGAGAGAGAGAGAGGGAACGAGGCAGCGCGAGATTCGTACCACGTTCATAAATATTCGCTCGTCAACTCGGCGTATCTGCGGTCTTTCCACGTCCGGTCCTTCGACATGGAAGGAATCTTCGGGAGGACGTACACACGCACGACGCGGTGGCAATCGCGAGCGATATTTGCATTTCCCGCATTCATGCAGAGTGAAACGAATCGAATCGATGCTACTAACGAACCGCGCTTTTGCTCATCGCCGAACTCGAAGCAACCATTTCGGCGGTGGAAGATATAAATAGAGCCGTAGGCGGGAGGAGACGGGAGGAGGCGAGAGAGAGAGAGAGAGAGAGAGAGAGAGAGAGAGAGAGAGAGAGAGAGAGAGAGAGAGAGAGAGAGAGAGAGAGAGAGGGAGAAAAGGGAGAATGTCCGAAGGGGCTCGAGGCCGAATAGAACGTTCAATTATTTCACGTCGAATCTGCTCGAGCTGTTTTTGTGTCAGGCGGCGACGCGAGCCAGTCAGCGCGCGACGCTGTGCTGCACCCCGGGACATGCAGTCGCGCGAAAACCTACGATAAAAGGGTGGACCACGAGCGCGCATTGAAAGCAGTTTCGCCCGTATGTTACACGCGCGGCCGTTCGTCGACTTCTCGTCGTATGCGATTTGTTTCGGCAGTCATTGTCGCCCGGCAGGTAAATATCGCGTTACCGCCACCAGCAAAATTGATCGTTTTCGAGGACGGGCGCTATTACACGAGAAACGCTAGCGCGGCATCGTCTCGACTTCCGCGCGCTCTGGTGAAAAATCTCTCCGGTACTCTGCCGGGGGACCGAGATCTGTCTTGTCGGTCGTATTTTCCAATCTGGAAATATCGAACGCGCCGCGGTAATTAGTCATCCCAATGAAATTTCGCAGCGAGGCGGCCAAGTTGATTTCAGTCAGATTTTCGCGCGCGTTAACGGTCTCTCGATTTTTCTCTCTTCCCCCGGAGCGCGGCCTTGTAATTTCCTCGGTATTGTTTCGCGCGACGAGAAAATAACGAGTGATATTAAATTTGCATCGCGGATGCACGCGCGCGCGCGCGCGCGCGCCCACGCGGGCGAGGAAATAGCGCGGCCGAAGGTTAATTGGCTCGCTTCCGCCCGGCTTGCGCGAGATATCGGGCCGAGAGCAGCGGCATTCCTACGCTCTCTTTCTCTCTCTCCCTCTCCCTCTCCCTCTCTCTCTCTCTCTCTCTCTCTCTCTCTCTCTATTGGTTAATCTATCCGCGCGTGTTTCTACACATAATACATGCGATAACTCACCCGACGGCCTCCATATAGAAGACGCTGAAGAGAGCAATTCCCACGCCGGTGCCGGCCTGCACCACCATCTCGACGAACTCTCGCCGTTTTCTGAAGTAATTGCCTAACACCAGACTGGCGGTTTCCCTTACGAGGCCGGCCCCGGTGCCCAGCACCAGCCCGTAGCTGTGTCGCATTTCATATAAGAGAGGGAGGGGGAGAGAGAGAGAGAGAGAGAGAGAGTAAAAATCGCACGCGCGCGTACGTACAAAGCCCCGCGCGAGAGTCCACCGGGGTTCGTCCGCCGCGACGAAGGGGGGGATAAGTCGACGCGCGATTTTGATGGAAAAAGCGCGACCAGCGCGTTACACGTTACACGTTACACGAACCGGTGTGTCGCTGACGTTTCCCGAGGGGTTTCCCCGAGAGAACTCTGATATCGAGCCGCGGCAGCTCATTTTATTTGAGAGCCTCTCGCGCCTTTTTATTTCGCTAACGTGGCTCTCTCGCGCCACGCGCTTACGCGCGATCAATGGAATACCGTTGCGCGCGTTAGCGACACAATAAAGTTTGCACGTGAACGCGGAAGCGGAGGCGCACGCGCGCGCGCGCGCGCGCGCGCGCTTTGAGAGCGCACCGCCCGCGTCGCCGAGCTGTGTAATTATTGTATTACGCACCTAAGGAGCACTTGATGCATCTGAAGGGCGAAGGAGGTGAAGAGCGAGGCCAGGGCCAGCACCAGGCCGCCGATCACCGCTGTGAGCCTTGTGTTGCCGCGACGACACGCGCCGACGACCAGCGGCGCCGAGCCGCGGGAAACCGCGGCGCTCAACGCTCCTGCCCACACTGAAACAATGTGTCCGAAGATGCTGTTTATTCCGCGGGAAGGAGGGGGGGAGGAGGAATCATTAGCGCGCGATTAGCGACTGGGTCCTGCTGCGCCACGACGCACGCGGAGCAAGCCGCGGCTCTCTTCGACTGTCTCTCTCTCTCTCTCTCTCTCTCTCTCTCTCTCTCTCCCTCTCCCTCTCTCTCTCTTTCGCTTTTTCGCACCGACCGACAGCGAACGAGACGAGCTCGTTTGAGCTGATTGATTTGCACCGAACGCTAACGAGGAGCGCTCGCAAAACACCCCTCCTTCCCTGCGGAAGGCGTGCTCACCGAGCAGCACACCGAAGCGGGGAATATGTATTTTCGCGTTTTTCGTATTCGCCGATGACCGCGCCTCGGTTCGGGAAATCGTTCTTCTTGGACCTCGCCGCTCGCGGTGTCACGCGGAAAATGTCAAAGACAAAAATATTTTTCAAAAAAATATTCGTTCCGACACACCGGCACACAGTTTAAAATCCCGTCAAACTGTTTTCTTTCATTTGACGACGTTGTTCGCGAGCGCAACAATTTCGCGGCACGGCCACGCCGCTCTCTGCCCGTTTCGCGCCAGCGCCAGGAGTCAGCGATTTCTCGCGAGAGAGAATTTGTTCCCGGAGCTCTCGAAATATTTAATAACCGGATACCCCGTTCCAATCTGTGTATCGTTATTTCAATTTGTTCCTTCATTATAGGAATACCCAACGATAACTGAATATGGCCGGAGGAGGCACGGAGGAGGCACGGAGGAGGAACAAAGTTTTTCCTTCTCCTTTTACCGTTCACGAGCTCGATCCTTTGTTTTCGACCGAGTCATCAACGTGCAGATTTATCGGCCATCACCTTCTAATTACTCCCAAGGGAGCATCGGATTTCGCAATTACGAAATCCCCTGTAACGTGAACTACGTGAAATTTTCTTTGAATAACGTTAGATCGTTAAGGGCTGTTTACGGGTGCGACGGTGCGTCGATGGCATTTGGGCGTCTCGGCGCCTCCAAATTCCACCATGATCTCCCGAAAACAATCATCGGCGAGAAGTGATCTCTATTAAGAAAAAAAAGTTGACTGTTATTTACGAGCGAGAGGAATAGAATCAATCGCAAACCCGTCCATCGACACGCTCGCAAAAAAACAAAAGAGAAGAAAAAAAACGAGAAAACGCGCGCGTCGCGTCGCGTCGCGACGAGGAAGCGATTTCCTCGCACGAGTTCCAAGCGCACGAGCGCGATAATCCACGTTAAAATTTTTGCACCCAGACTCGCGACGGCGAGAGCGAAAACTCGGATATCTGAAGGAAGAGGCTCGATATATATGCATCGCGCGCGCACCCGAGGCACCGCAGGTACGAAGACATCGCGCAGCGTGAAACATGAACGTCGACCGATTTAATGGCATCGCGTCAAAGCGCACTATAGCTGATCTCTCTGTAATGCTAAAATTGGACGAGGCTACGTCAATCGTATCGACGTATATATCTCCTGTAATCTCGTAAAAGCACCACTTTTTACCCTTGTACTTGGCGAAGTGGCGGAACACCTCTCTCCCTCCCTCTCTCTTTCTTTCCCTCTTATAAATACCGTGCCAAGTTCGCAAACGCGCCGAGGCGTTTCGCATAATCATATCCTCCGCACGACTCAGGCACGACAGATATGAATAATCGAACCGAAACGAGAATTTACTCGAATTTATACACGACGACGGCGATTCAGGCGGCCCCGCTGTCTTTCTACCGACTCGTTTCGCCTATTTGTTCATCGTTCGTTCGTTCGTTCGTTCGTCCGTCCGTCCGTCTGGAATTTCGAGTATTCGGCAAATGTTTTCAGACAGTCGCGAACGACACCGACGACGACGACGACGACGACGACGACCAAATTTTCAGGCGCGATCCCGGCGCGGATCTCTACTGGAAATTACAGGATATATTACGCGGGATTAAATCTTAATTAACGATACGATCAAATTCCCGATACGCCAAGACATTGGGTTGATTAAATAAGGAAACAAGTTTTCGCCGTTCATTTACACGAGTGTCAGGCTGAATTGAAACGTTTCAATTTCAGCAAGAAAAGTAGCCGGCTAATTAAGCGTAAAATTGAATTCTCCAGCGAGAAAAAGCTCGGCATAATTAATCGAGAAAGAAGAAGGTACTGTCAGGTTACTTACACATTTTAAGCTTCAGTTCTCGCGCAGACGCCTCCTTCGTTGTTTTTGCTCTCGCTAGTTTAACATCCAATTAAATTCTCGCTTGGAAATAATGCGCAATAATTAATCCCCGCGTAATATCTCGTCACTCGCATAAATCATTTCGAGTATTAGCTCGAAAACACGATTTAAAAGAGCCCGCGCGCGCTCACAAAGTGGTACTTCTGCCGAGGTAAATTTTCACTTGGAAGTATGTATCGTGGGAAGAGCAAACGCTCGTGCGACCGTGCGAATGGGTTTGCCGAGAAATTCAATACATTCGCGAACGAACGAACGAACGGTCAGCCCGACACGCGTGCGAGCACACCTTCGCCGTGTGCGCGAGAGCGTTAAGAAAACGACCCGGCGACGGCGAAATGTGCCCAAGGCGCGACATTATATCCAAAACGAAAGAGTCGACCTCGCACACATCGCGTCGCTATATCCGCGACGCGAGTCGCGTCTTTACGAAAACTACCACCTGCCGTGGTGCCGTGGTATGCATGCGTGCATAATTACGTGCACGACAGCACGCGAGCACGCGATGCAGGCCCCCGCGCTTTTTAACCCGACGTGTTGCGCATGTTTTCGAATTTTTCGCCAGAGAATCGCGTGCGCTCTTCTCTCTCGCATAAGTTCAAAAATGTCGACGCTTGGTGCGCGAAGTATATACAGGGTGTCCCACAGGCTCACCGAATGCCTCGGTTTCTCTCTCTCTCTCTCTCTCTCTCTCTTTATTTTTGTTTCATGTTTCACGATGTTACATATATAAATTGTTAGCGTATTTGATTTCGAGCGATTCATCCCTATCGATTTGACGAGCCGCGCTTGACGAGCATCGTCGTGCCAAACGAGCGAGATTTGAAAAGTAATACACCGACGGCCCAGTTTACGCTCCAGTTTTAACAGTTAAACCTGCTGCCGAGTAATCCGGTATTCGGGATAAAACCACTCTCGATCGATGAAGGTACCCTCGGCGAGCGACCCTCGGAATGAATATGCATTGTCCGGTCTTGTCGCGACTTAGGAGAGCTTTTCGAAGAAACCTGAATATTGGCGTGCGCACCAGAGCTTCAACAGGTAGCGACTTTGGCGACGTTCTTGCGCGAATAATTTATGAGGCTGGACGCTTTTAGCGCTATTTGCGCAACGCTCGGCCAAGCGCGGGGTGATGAACTCTAGCGCTCTCGCCCTCGCTCTCGCTCTCGCTCTCGCTCTCGCTCTCGCTCTCGCTCTCTCCTGCTCAGGATCTCCCGGATTGGATTTACAGGACGCTTTTGAGCGGCACGTTGAATTTCTCCGCGAAATATTTAAGAGCCCTTTCACGTTCCAGCGCGACCGCCGATGATTGTCGGTCTACCCGTTTTTACCCAAGCCAGATGGAACGCGAATGGGACACCGTTTTCCGTTGATAATCGTCGCGCCAATTCAATCAACGTCTCCTGGTTATACCCGAACGCAAACGCCGTATCCTTTATTTCGCCGTGTCATTCGTTACCCGCGTTACCGTTGTGTGTTAATTATTCGCCCGATGGGTTCGCCACGGAGAACACCGTTTGTTACACCAGCAACACAAACGGAGACCTCGGAATAAATTATCATTAAGCAGACGTCGCCTTTTCAAATTCTCGCAGGGATGAAACCGCGTTACACTGCAGTGCAGCCGCGGCATCATTTCCGGCTCGTCGGTCTTCTTTACGGAAAGAGCAACCAGCGATCCTGTCTCGTGGGCGTGCGCTCGCGAGCAAGCGACGTTTGCGTCTCCACCACGTATAAGTACTCGAAGAGCGGTGAACACAGCGGGGGTTTATGTTTCCTATTACCACGGCGCAATGATGTATGAGAGAGAACACGTCATCGGACGGGGCAGGATAATTTTTCAAAGTGAAACGAACCGCGCGGCGATGACACTACGCTTTAAATACGTTTCTCGAGGGATAAAAGGCCCTTTTCACGACCATCTTAGCGCGCATCGGCAACAAGGAGCACGGCTGGACGATAGGAGGTAGCCTTTGTTCCCGCGCGCGCCTGTCTAGTCCGTCATTACGTATTTCTCTCTTGTACCGGGACGCTCCTCAATGACGTCTCTCCTCTCCTTGCGAGAAACCGCCGCGCCCGCTCGTTCGCTCACGCGCCTGCAGCGACTATATTCCCCCTCCCCTCCTTCTCTCACTCTCTCTCTCTCTCTCTCTCTCTCTCTCTCTCTCGCCGCTTTTATCCCCGAAGAATATTTTAACTACACTTTCCCAGAGTTGCCGAGCGTAAGCCTGGCGATGTATTTCGGCCTCGATAAAAGGCTAGTCTAACGCTACATCATTTCTCTCTCTCTCTCTCTCTCTCTCTCTCTCTCTCTCTCTCTCTCTCTCTCTCCCTCTCTCTTTCTCCGCCGGTTTCAAAGGATACTAGCTCGAATTACATTTTCCACAACTGCTTCCGCCAGCCAGCCAGTCAGCCAGCCAGCCAGCCAACCAGCCAACCAGCCAACCAGCCAACCAGCCAGCCGACGGCGATTGTTGCCTCCTCAGCGAGCAATCTCCCTTATCACCGTGACTAATTGTCGACGATTCGAGATTAAAAAATGCGAGAAATGTTCCCATAAGCCGCAGCAACGTTTCCTCCCTGGTTACAAGAGCGATTGAAAATGAAGGTCCATTGTTTAAGGAAGAAGGAAAGAGAAATATTACCTTGACGAATTTTAAATACAAAGTTCCATCGAGGAACGAGAGATCTCCAACGTGGAGAATTAGCAGTTTGTAAGAAGAAGGGCGGTGCGCAATTGCATTTTCGTCGAGAAGA